TGATTCCTGTGCTCTCTCCTTTGTGTTCCTATGCCCGGTTGGAATCCAAAACTCCCACCCTGGAGGCAGTCTCACTGCAGGTGCCCTCACCTTGCATGACAGCACTCATCTGCCCAACAATTCCAAAAGCAAGACCTACTGCTAACACGTCCTCTAAGAGACTTCACCTCCAGAGAAAACTGTTGTGTGTTCTGAGCTTCAGAGCCTGAAGCCCGAAAACAAAACCCCAAGGGGGAGATCCTCAGAGAACACACTTGCAGATTGCAAAGCTCTGAGGCTGTGCCAGCTGAACCAACAGCTGTGGCACACTGCTTTTGAGAGAGGGGAAGGATGCTGAGGTGCTGCAGAGCTGCAGTGAAAGGAAATGTGCAGCTCAACGTTGTACAGGGAAGGAGCCCCCCTGCAGTCCTGCTGAGCTGCACGTGCCCTTCGGCCTCCCTTGAGCCTTTCTTTTAAGCTGGACTCAGGTGAGACAAATAAATTGTTCCCCTCTACAACATCTAGGGGCTGAGGACAAACCTAACAGCAGTATGAACATCTGGGAGCTTGTGATCCCAGAAAGCAGGGGGGAAGAATCCAGACAACCTTTTTTCCAAGGCCAGGCTCCTCCACTGACTCACATTTTGCTTCTAGTTACTTTTTCTTATCCAGACTCCTGATCCACTGGTCATCTTTCTTTTTCTTGCTAAAAATAAGTCAAACATCTTCATTTGTGTGCCTAAATAACCCATTACTGTAAACTTTCACCTTGTGAGATTACAGTTCAAAACTCCCTTTTAACTTTTTCCCCCTCCCATTCCCAGCTCTTTGCTCCCTGGCACATGGGGCACACTGCTTCCTGCCTTCTTCTGTCTAACTGAGCTCAGATTAATTAACCAGCCATAGAATTTTTTTTTTTTATTAAAATGCTAAACCCCTTCTTTATCCACAAATTAAAACCAAGATGATAGATCTTCTTCTGGGTGGTGGTTACAAAAATAGTACTCAATCTGCATGGCGAATGGTAGGAACTTTAATACCTACTTAATGAATTGTTTTCATGTCAGACTGAGCAATGGTTAGGGTTTCTCTTTTGTGAGGTTGTTATTAATGTATGTGAAGGAAGACTAGGAAGCTGCCAGTGGAACCAGATGTCATCTGCACCAGTCCCAGTGTACATGCTTATAAAAATCAACCACAATCCACCAGAGCAAGAGGCCTTGCTGCAGAGAGCACAGACATATAAAACCAAGCTCATGAGCAAGTGAAATCCCATCAATCTCTGTTTTACAGATAACAAGTGACAAGCCCTGGTGTCAGATCCATCATCTGCTGCAGCCTCTTTGTGACTCCACTATGGTGACAGGACTCAGGACTGGAAATGCACAGCCATGAACTGGCTGCCTGCCCACAAAAAATCCCTGTTGGCTCCTTCTCCTGGCATTCATAAGGCTATTAAAGCATTTCCCACTCACTGCTTACAGTGTACTGATAATTAGACACCCTGGGACAGTCTGGAGGAGCTCTCTGCATCCTGCAGCTCCCACATCCAGTGTGCTCTGCATGCTTGTGGAACCCAAAACCACCCCTTTCAGATTTAGCAGAAGCTGACAAAATATCTCAGCAAAGCTTCAGCTGGAAATCACAAGCTCATACTGAATTCTGTAACTCAGGGAGAGATTGATTTGGGTAAAAGAATATAAAAACTAAAAAATGTGTGTGGACATAGAGTTCCCCCCTAGTAGCTCCCCTAAAATCCAACAGCTCTGTCCCAGCATTTTGTAGCACCAGTGCTCTTTCTAGAACTCTAGACTGGCACAACAACTTGCTGAGTCAGGTGTTAATGCTTCAGGTTTGACTCACACACAGTTTTAATCAAGTAACCTGCTCTCTGGAGCTCACAGAAAGCTCATTTAGAGAAGAACATCAACAGCAAATTTGTCATCTTCAGAGGGGGCTGGGAGTTTTCCTCCCACTTCAACATTTACCATCTTAAACTGCTCTTTGATGAAATTCCCTTATGGCTGACACAGCTCATCAGGCTTTGTCTCTCCAAACCCTTTGTCCTCCTGGCCCAGGGAGCTCCTCCTGCCCTTTTCCCAGGGGTGGGAGTGTGCCATGGACAGTCACAGCAGCAGGGCACAGCCTGGCACGCTCTGTCACCACTCCCATGCTGCCAGACCCCTCAGAAGGACTGGAAGAGGAAGGACATTCCTCCCGGTGTCATCCCTCTTTACCAAGACTCAAGTTATTTCTGTTTCAGACGGGGAGCACCCCTAAAGCCCCACTGTTGAGTCTCTCCATGTGGCCTCTCCCAAGGAGGGGCGTCAGCAGCACTTGGTGGCTGATCTGGTAACACATGCAGGATAAACCCCTTGGAGGGCCCAACAGAGCTTCAGAACTAAGCACAACTGAGGCTGGGGCTGCCCCTGGACCCCTGGAAGTGTCCAAGGCCAGGTTGGACGGGGTTTGGAGCAACGTGGGATAGTGGGAGCTGTCCCTGCCTGTGGCAGGGGTGGAACTAAATTATTTTTAAGATCCCTTCCAAGCCAAATCAGTCTGTGATTCTGTTATTTCCTAATGCTAACCAAAGACAACTGGTGCATGTGAAACCCTCCAAGAGGCTCTGCTCTTTCCAGTGTGCACTAACAACAGCACTGCTGCTATCCCTCCACTGGCCAAACACATTTTCAAAACAGGCACAGTCTGTGGAGAAGTTGTAGAGGGGAAGGAGAGAAGAGAACCAGGGAAAAAGAAAAATTGTAGCAGTTGGAAATACTTAAAGTCACAGATTCTGGAAAGAAAAGAAAAAATCTGCCTCCTCCTCAGGATCCCATCCTTCAAGTAGGGAAAACCCAAAAACCTTTTAAATGCTACTGCAAGGGACAAAGAAGGAATAAGAGCTGCTAATTCTCCCTGGCCCTCACTATGCTTTCTCAGCTCATGTCTACACAACACTGGGATCATCTATCACTTTCCAAAAATACTGCTCATTTCCTGTATTTCTGTAATTCTATCCCATGGCATCAAACACTACCTTATGTCTTTGTTTCCTCATCTCAGCTGGATGTACTTGCTTCCAATACAACAATGGTACGTTCTATAACAAAGCCCCCCAGCCCCTGAGTTCAACTGCCATTGAACCTATCTCTGCTGCAGCACAAGACTGGTTTGAAAGAGTGAGTCATTCAAATTATTTAAAGTCTTACACATTTCTGAATTTTTAAAATGTGGTGTAGGAAGAGGAACAAAACCTCACTGCACCCAGAGGCAGAGAACGACCCAGCTGCCTGACATTGTGCACCCCTTCTGCACAACTCCTACAGGGTCAGCTTGCCTCCTGAGTTTGCAACAACCCCTGTGAACCCTCTCCTATGGGCTGTCTCCTTTTCCCAGCCCTTTCCCACCTCTGCAGTCCTTGCTGTGCTGCTGAAGCTGCTGCCAATTTACACTGGCCTGCCCTGTGCTGAGCAGCAGATGCTCCATGACTCATGCAGTGCTTGCAGATGCAAGTTATCCATAACAGCACCCTAATTAACAATACCAAATGTCAGCTCTCCCATTCAAACATGGACATGTTCATGTGTATGACCACACTATTTTAGGAAGCAGTGTCTGCTCCCTTGAAGTGTCCAAGGCCAGGCTGGATGGGACTTGGAGCAACCTGGTCTAGTGGAAGGTGTCCCACCCATGGCAGGGGGCGGGATGAGGCCCCTTCCAACCCAACCCATCTGGGATTCTATGACAAAAATACAAAGGGAAAGTCAGAGATACTGATTTTCACCTACCATATGAATGATTTTTATTGAATTTTGAGTGTCAAAAAGAGACATTCAGAAGAGCCAGGCAGCAACCTAGCCTTGAAAAAAGATAAGGAAAAATTAATGAATGTTTTTGCACTGCTAAGAGCTAAATTACACACACACAAACACACCAAACAGAATGCAGCTTTGAGATATGGTCTGGGTCAAACTGTACTAGGCCGTGGTACTATTCCTGGATGGAATTTTAAGTACTCACAAGCAGAGGTTTTCCACTTCACTCCAAAGCTTTACCTGTCACTGAAACACCAGGGATTTGGGGATTACACGCAGAAACCCAGCATGAAGGAGAATGGCAGCTGGCCTTTTCCCGCAGCGACAAGGTGGGAAGCGCTGCAGGACCTGCGTGTTCCAGGGCCGGGCTGGACATTCCCGGGTGCCCCGGCTCCGGCGGGACCCGCCCGCCACCTGCCGGCACAGCCAGACGGCAGCGCAGACCGCCGGCCACTGCCGCACGGCCCTGCCTGCCGGCGGGGACCAGGGCAGCAGCAGCTGGGCTTCTCGGGATTTCTGGATGCTGGAAGGCCGTGACCCATGCTCCTATGGCTGATCAGTATAAACATGTTTTATTCCAGGAGCCTGGTGTCCTGAGCTGGGTAGAGACAGCCTTGGGAAAAAAGCCAAAATCAGAGTCTCTGAAGACCTGAAGGGGCTTCACAAAAACCTCAGTTAACAGGTTAGGAAAGTGATATAGAACAACAGAAACACAGACTGGTTTGGGTTGCAAGGGACCTTAAAACTCACCTCATTCCACCCCTGCCATGGGCAGAAACACCTTCCACTAGAGCAGGCAGCTCCAAGCCCTATCCAGCCTGGCTTTGGTTGGACTTCCAGGGATCCAAGGGCAACCCATCCCAGGGCCTTCCCACCCACCCAGGGAACAATTCCTTCCCAATATCCCATCCATCCCTGCTCTCTGCCAGTGGGAAGCCATTCCCTGTGTCCTGTCCCTCCATGCCTTGTCCCCAGTCCCTCTCCAGCTCTCCTGGAGCCCCTTTAGGCCCTGCAAGGGGCTCTGAGGTGTCCCTGGAGCCTTCTCCTCTCCAGGGGAGCACCCCCAGCTCTGCCAGCCTGGCTCCAGAGCAGAGGGGCTCCAGTCCTCCTGATAGAAAAGGAAGTTAAAATAAAAGAAAATTTTAAAAGCCCATAACAAAAACAACCCCCTGGAATTTAGTGGAATAAACAGGCAGAGTAAAGAAGTTCATAGAAAAGATTTATTGCTTGGAGCTGTCGTTGGCTTTGTGCAGGACTAGCAGGAGGCTCCCCAGCTCAGTCCAGAAGCTCGTCTCGCACCAGCACAGGGAAGTGCCGGCCCCCCTCACAGAGCTGGCTGTGGATGGCCCGGAACAGCCCTGCAGAGCCCTCCAGCATTGGCCTGGGCTCCAGGACAGGCAGCAGCTCTGCCATCATCACCTGGGCAGAAGCAAAGGAGACACTGTCACCAGAGCCAGCAGCACTCCTTGTAGTGGCTGCATAACAAGTGAAATCTAATCAGAGCAGTATGACTAATAACAGGCTAACTGATTGATGGATACTTTATTTTGTCATATTTAATAGAGGCAGAGTGGTTCATTTTCTGCTCATGAGCTGCCTCGGCAGCCACCCAGCATTTCCAGAGAAGTCAAGTGGCAGTGCTGCTGCCCTGCTGCAGGGAAGGCCCAGCACTGGGATGAGATCAGCATCCTGCAAGAAACTGCAGCTGGTGTTGGTTCAGGAGCTCTGTGGCCACACAGTGGAGTGCTCACTCACCCAAGGGTAAAGTTCAACCCCTCACTCAGGACTGTTCCCATCACCTCCCAGTTATGCCAGAGGTGTAAGTGGCCAACTCCAGCCCAAACAGGTTACAGGGACTGCTCAGGCTGTCCAACATTCCCTGGCCTGGCTGCTGCTCTGTTAAGCCTATGTTGGGACCTCAGCCCACGCTGTCAAACAACCCAGCGCAGCATCAGTATCAGCTCTGGGATTAGGACTGACTGACAACTCAAGCACAGGTCACTTCAATCACTGGACAAAAGCTGGTCTTTGGTGCCCCATTCTTGAATTAATGCTCAGACAGACATTTTGCCTGGGATTTTAATTTTTTTCTTTTTTTCATCTGGCATGAGGTTCTGAAGTCTGAGCAGCCTGCACACCAAAACTCACCCAACCTGCTGCACAATGCCTGCCCAGGAGAGAGGACAACTCAACAATGTGTGTCAGCCACCTCCTTAAAGACTGCCAGAGCTCCAGGAGTGTTTGGACATCGCTCTCAGGCAGAGGGTGGGATTCTTGGGCTGTCTATGCAGGGCCAAGAGTTGGGTCTCTTCCAACTCAAGTTATTCTGTGATTCCATGATTGTTCCCTGGTGGATACAGATGAAGACCCAAACAGAACAGAGTACAGGATATCTGCAGCGGCTTCCCTCTCCTGTTCTACACAAGTCTCTGCAGGAACAGGGGAGCAGGACACAGCTGCTCGTCTCTGGGAAGTCTTTTTCTACAGACATGAAAGCTACCTAAGGGGAAAGCTGGCAAAGGAGTGATGCACTACTCCACTTCCACCTGCTCTGCTCCTGACACCTAAGAAGAAACAGATCTTCACCATCAAAGACAGGCTAAGAGCTACCAGGAACTTCTATGATACTTGGCATTCCTCCATGGAAAGGTAGTGGACAGGCTTGGCCCAGACACAGGTACATCCTCTTCTGGGGTATTTATCTTGTTCCATGCCCACTTACTTCACCTGTCCCAAGAATTTCACTCATTCTGCACATACTGCACAGAGCTGCTTCAGAGCCTCAGGGCTCACATGGCACAAAGCATCTGTTTGGGTACATGTGCAGAAGAAACTGAGTCAACCAACAGAGCAGCAGGAATCAGGCTTTGGTCACCACTTCATTTCAGGCGGACAAAAAAACCCCCAAACCCTTCATAATCCATACTTCAGGATTATAATGCTGAAATCCCATTTGAAGTCAGGTAGCCATCTGTCTTCAGCCACAGGGCTGTAGACAGTTATTAATAATACCTCTCTGTCTTAAAAAAAATTACTTTTCCAGAGCCTCTATCGCTCAAGTCAATGGCAAAGAATAGATCAGACTCTGCCCTTTGCTGCTGGCTGAGAAGAACAAGCAATCCCTGTGTGACAAACTCTCTGCTCAGGCTGCTGAAGAAGCTGACACCTCCTACCCTGTTCTTACAGTCTCAGAATGGTAAAAGCAAGATTAGCAGCACAGTGGTTTGAGATTTAAAAGGAAAGCAACAGAGAACAGAGGAGTTCACCAGCTGAAGTCACACAGGATGGAATGAGAGAGTGGGTGCCCTAAGAGGGCTGTAAAGGCCTGACAAAAGGGGCGTTACCAACAACATCCTCCACTGCCAAATTCTTTCAGAATACATAAATAAAATCTTATCAGGAGAGGATCAGGCACGTAAGAGCCTCTGCTCTGGCCCTAACAATAACAACAAAAAAAGTCTCATTCACCAACAAAGAGAACAAGGCATAAACACAGAAACATCACTGGAGGAACTTGCCATGCTGCTGCTGCTGCCCATCAACACCTTGTACAACAGCTGCTGCCCCACAACTGTCCCTCTTCTTTCCTGCTCTGGGAGCACCGACGCTCCTCCAGACTCACCTTTTGTAAGGCAATCTCTTGGTGCAGCATTGACACTTGCAGCTTCAAGGCAAACAGGTCCCTCAGCTCCTGGAGACTGGAGTAACAGAGGAGAGGCACAGCCAGCATGTCTGCACTGTCACACGTCTGTCCCCTGGCAGGGACACAGGCTGGAGAGCAGCTCCCCACATCCCCAGTGCAGTCTGGGCACAGCCTCAGCTGGGACTCCAGAGCTGCCAGGGTACAAGAAAAGGCAGGAGACAAAAACATACAAGTTAAATCTGTACTTGCAGACTTTAAGAGCTACTTACTGTTCCCAGAAACTGATGACTAAAGACACTGTATTAATCAGGGCAAGCTCCTCACACATGGCACAATCAGGACACTCTAAGCTGTGGCCTGCACTGTCCCCTCCCCGGCCCTCTTGAACTGCAACTGCAGTTCAAAGCTCCAAGTCTCTCCTGAACACAAAGGGGAGGCACACAGGTACCACAGATTTGTTTGCCACCAGAGAATTAAGTGCTCCAATACCATAAGGATAACCAGGAGCAAAATGACCGTGGTCCAGTGTCCTGCACACAGGGGTGGCAAAGGGCCATGTCCATACCTGACCAAAAACACAGGGACTGTCTCACCTTCTCGCAGCAGCTGCAGCTTCTGCAGGCACTGGGACACCGTGGTTTGCAAACCCTCCAAGGTCAGAAGGCTTTCATACTCTCCTTGCAGAGTGGAATGGTCTACAAGAGAAGCAGAGAAAAGGTGTGAACACTGGAACCTTCCTCCCCAAACAGCTTCCAGAGTGGCCTCAGGTTCACCAGCCTTCATTTCAGGCAGAGAATGTTCCCGTCCCTCGTGTCCACCACATGCCAAGAAGACAAAACACATGGAACTGGAGCCCAAATCATCCTTATTCTATCTTCTGCACTCCCACTGCCCTTTTTACCTCCTTACCTGCAGGCTCAGCTTCCACATACTGCCTCAGATGGGAGGGGACATCCTGGAGGCCCCTTAATTCCTCCTCTATCTCTGCAGGACTGGGGGTCAGCTTCGGGGAGCAAAACTCAAACAGCAGCAGCTTAAGGAAAGTTCCACAGAATCCTGAGCCCCTGGCGAGACCAGCTGGAATCAGGGCAGAGGGAAGTGGCACTGCAGGGGGAAGGTGAGGACAGCACAGCACAGCTGTGTAGGGCATGCTTGCCTTGTGGCCACGTTTAGCTGGACCAGAGGTTTTGCAAGTGCTCAACAGCTGTACTGTGAAAAAACCCACTGCCTAGAGACCCAAGTGGGACTGCTGTTATTGGAGGCATAACTCTCTCCAGCTTGGAGCTCACTGCAGAGCAATTGCACCCTGTGCGTGCTAGGAAAGGATACGGTTGTCTGGATTCTCTCCATAAAACGGGTCCTTGCAGCTGCTGCATCTGCACTTGTTTGGCACAGGCGACATCTCTCCCATGCCCTGAAATTCCAAAGGGGCAGGAGGTGGAAGTTATGCTCCTTTGTACCAGACAGTGCTCACACTGAGCTGTGACACACCAGTGTGGCACAGCAGTGCTTTAATTACAAGTGTCTCCTTCCCCTTCTCTCTCACAGATTATTTACCAGCCATTCCCAACTCATTCCCAGGGCTGCTATCAGATCAACAAGGACACCCTGCAGAAAGCATCAGACACTGCAAAGCACCTGTTATTCTCTCCTCTTGTTTTGAGGGGAAGGATCAGAAGGCAGACAATACGTTTCCATAAGCAGAATGTGAACTTGCAGCACATCCCTCATTCTGTTGTCCTGCCTTTGCTTATACCCCATAGGAAACAACAAATCTTCCCTTCCTTTCTTGGGACTAAGTCATTTGCATTTCTGTACATTTGTTCTGTTAGTATAGGTGTACAAAAGAAAGAGCAGACAGGATGAACTCTCACCCAACTGCTTCATATTCCAAACTTCCTCAAGATTCTTCTTTAATAATTTTTTGTGGGGGGACAAAGTGGTATGTTTGGCAAACAGAATGACAGCATGTCAGGGATGCAAGACAGAGGTTTGAGGACATTATCATGAGGAAGCTGGCCAGGACTTCACACCAGAGTCCACCAGTTTTTTAGATAAAACACTGCACAAATAACAGCACTACTGGAGAGATGCATTTCTCTCACAGAGTTCAACATCCTCGTGGGTGCACAGTACCCATTATATCCTTTCCTTAAGGACTGTCTTCCAAAACCTGCCACAGTAAGTAAGAGCCATGAGGAGGAAGCTTAAAATAGTTCTGCAGTGCCTGACTAACTCGAGTGTTCATGTGTCTTCTCTCTAGCCTAATGGGTCTTTTAAATCATGTTAGAATCTGCACATTTCAGAAATATGTTATGCAAAGAAGTGTCAAGGTTAACGGAACAGAAAAGAATAGAATTCCCAGGCAAGATGCAAATCCTCTACAAGGGATCTTTAGTGCAAAGGTTATTCTCAATCTCTTACTGAGTTAAAAGCAATAGTGAGAAGTATAAAATTACACCAAAGTGTAATGCTAAAAGGCTCAATTTAGAAGTGAAAATTAAGGGCATAAAGTCTTTACAACTTGCAGAAGGGCAACTAACAAACTGGTCTCTGATAAATGACAGTTTCTAAGACGAGGAGGAATTCTTGAGGGCAGCACAAGGGACTACAGTTAGATTTAATAAAGGGTTTATGCTTAATATCTGAACAAAGCATGTAATGAGCAATCTGCTGAATTATGGCAACATTTCTCAGAAGAAATGTAGGAAACCCTTCCAGAAGACTGAGAAGACAGTCTTCTCCAGTCCAGGAGAATGGACTAGAGCATGTAAGCCCCAACTTCCTGCACCATCCCTGCAGTAACACTGTAGCTGGCTTAGTGTAAGAGTTCAGCAGCAGGAACGGGCCTCAGACACACACAGTTGTGCTGCTTCCAGGCTGCAAAGGCAGGGCAGGGATGGTCTGGGAAACTCTCATTGGATAGTATATACAGAAACCCATCCCAGGGGATATCCTGCCTTCAACAGGCGTGTGGCACCAGCAGAGACTTCTGCGGCACCCTTAAACTCATGATTAAAGCATTCCAGGAACTTCAAGACTCAGTGATTAACAGTAATTAGCACTCAGAGAACAAAAGTAGCACTAGTGGCTACAATAACAGGAGAACACATCCTCAGCAGCAGCCTTGCAGTATGGGAGCTCTTCCTGCTCCCAGTTCAGGCCCCATGGCCTGTGGGGTCACTGCCTCCCGGGGCACACAGAGCAGCCACCCCTGACCCCTCCTCACAGCCCTGAAGCTGAGGGTAGTTCTGGACTGGACTGGTCAGACTGGTCTTACCTGGAGTTCCTGGAATAGGCTTTCCTGTAGGAAAGGGGGAGCTTCAGCTGGCATCTGTGAAACAGGAGAATGATTAATCCTGGCAGCAGGAAAGCAATTAACTGAGCCTTGTCTTGCAACAGGGAAAATGGTGCTTTGTCAAAATCTGAAATTAATTTATCTGCAATGGGAGATATCAGCAACTCTGGAGATTGGATCCACCACTGTCTTCAGACTGTCCTCAAGGAAGGAAGATTAGGTTGCTCATTCAACTCTACAGGCATCATGGAGCTGAGCTGGGAGAGCTCCTGCATCCTGGACCAATCAGAGGTTCATCCAGGTGGGCAGCTGGGAGCAAAGCCATGGCACAGCAGAGTACAGACATGGAAACAGCACCTTCAGGGAAACTGGTCTGCCACAGCCTCTTGCCCTACCTTCTCATACCGGCAAAGCTGCAGGACAAGGCAGCTTTGCTTAGCACCATAGGACACTCCAAGAAATAGGAAAGGGACATTCCAGCTTCCACTGGGAATATGATTCTTAACCCTGAAGCAGAATAATTCCTAAACTGTTATTACAAAAACAGAAGGGTTGGCAGTTGTTAGTCACATGCAGACTAGGAACGCAAGGCCACAGCTGGGAATTTAAGCAAATGTTTGAATCCAGATCCCTGTTTCTACAGCAACTGTCACTGAAGTGTCCTGGGGCCTTTCCAATGCCAGTGAAAAGGGATCATTTCCTCCCTGCACAAACACAAGAGTTAGGTTGTGGTGGCTGAGAGAAATACTCCTCAAAACTTTCCAGATGCAACTGAGCTTCAATGTTTTGTTAAAGCAAAAGAGGAAAGAAATTACTTAAACAAGACAGACTGGCACAAAGCCAATCTTCCAAGTATTATTTTGCCACTTTTCCACAGAGAATCTCAGTAACATTCCCTTCATAATCCTTCCTGCATCAAAGCCTTGAAACAACTGCACTTTAGTCAGTCCTGATTTGTGTAGTTATGCGGGCAGTATGTTACAGGTTAACAGCGACAGCATCAAACCCAGATGCCACCACTCCAAACAGCACTGGGCACATGCTTTAGAGAGAGAGACAATTCATGCATTATGTATTTTCACTGTCTAAAAAACAGAATAAATTTTAAAAAATCAATATACTACAATACAGAGTACACTCGGAGGAAAGCTAAGGCTCAAGAAAGCTCTACAGAGACAGCTTTCCAGACCACTCACAGGGGACTATGAAACATCAAAAGTCTTAATTGAAAGGCTTTCAAAGTCCCAGCCATCCAACAATAAGCCCTTAAAATGAAAACATTTACTCAACCACAATAAAGGCTTTTAAACTGTATAGGATTCTTCCTCTTGAGAGGGATGTGAGGAGGATGAAGCCAGGCTGGGACACCCAGAGCAGCTACAGCCAGCAGGATCTGTACATGTGCCTGTGAGTGTGGAGCAGAACAGGAGAGGTGCCCACCTCCCACACTTACCCCATTTCCTGAAGGGTGCCTGTTCCTGGTGAGATGCTCCTTCCCCATGCACTTGCAGTGTCCTCCTTTTTGCTGGACTCTCCCATGAAACCACAACTTTTCTTCCCTGCGTCAAGTAACTGCTTGCCAGCAACTGTGGAATTCTTTCCTGCAGCTGAATCCCCTCCAGAAAAGCTCTGCTGCTCATTTGGGGCACATTCAGACAAGCCAGGTGTCTCCTGGGGTTCAGCTGCAGCACAGACTTCTCTGGCACTGGCACCAGTTGCTGTCCTGTGACTCTTTCCTTGTTTGGAAGTCACTCCTTTTGAGGAGATCTTCCCAGCTGTCCTGGGGCCTTGAGAAACGCATCTGGCTGGGACTTTCCTTTGCAGTTTCTTCACATCTGGGTCAGTCCTGTAAGGGGCTCTTAACTGGTATGGAGAGGGTTTCTTCAACAACATAGGTTTTTTGCTTCCAGCTCTCACCTTCCTGCACTCAGGAACATCAGCAGGTACAGGCACCTGCTGCTCTTCAGCTTTCTTGGGAGCATGTGCCTCACCTGTCCATTTCTGTCCTGTAGCTCCCTGAGTCTCTAATGGAGTTTTCAAGATGCTTTTCCTGACCTTCAGTGCCTTCTCTAAGGCCCTGTTCAGCAGTTCCAGTTCCTCTAGCTCCTTGGGTGAAGGCCTGTCTTCTGCAAGAAGAGAACACATGTCAGAAGGCTCAAACCTGGATGTTCCCCATTTGACTCTTCACTACCTTGCTCTTCCAGGCGGCACAGAAGGAAACGAAACCTAATGACTGGTGCAGGGGGTATTTTTTTTTAGCTGTGGGAACAGCCACTGCACAGAGGATGCAGGTAGGATTGCCAGAAGCTTTGAAGACCCAGGATGGATGTGATCCACAGGAGGACAGATCTCCCGAGCCAACCGCAACAAGTGACACTCCCACACGTGGGTCAGGCCCGCAGTCACTTCATTGCCGGACTTGGCTAACGAGACACGACTCCAAGCTAACCCCAAGGAGGAGAGAGGGAGGGAAAAGGCAGAGGGGGTGTTTAGGTGGATGCAGAGCATTGGAATGACTCCTAACACCGCAACTGGCCCGGGGCCGGTGTGACATGAGGGGGCACCGGCCCGGGGAAAGAGCTCACCATGCTCAGTGCTGGAGCCTGACTGTGGCTGCGGCCGCTCCTCTTCCTCATCATCCCTGGGGGAACAAACAGCGACGGAGCCGGCGTTGCTGCACCGGGACGGGACCAGCGCCCCCGGCCCGCGGGGCCTCGGACACGGCTGCGGGACCAGCGCCCGGGCCTCCTGCTCCCTGCGGGCCGCCCGGGATGGGGGGCCCGGGAGGGGGGCGCCACACACGCGGGTGCCGCACTCACCAGCGCCCCAGGAGCGCCCGGCTCCGCGCCGCCCGCCGC